AGTGTTTTTTATATTAAAGTCTACTTTGTCGGAGACTAGTATTGCGACTCATGCTTGTTTAGAGCTGGCGTTGGCTTGGTAAATCTTTTTCCATCCTTTGACTCTTCGTCTGTTTTTGTCTTTGAGTGTAAGGTGTGTCTTTTGAAGACAGCATATAGATGGATCTTGTTTTTTTATTCATTCTTCCACTCTTTGTCTCTTTGACATTCAATGTCCATTGACATTCAACGTAATTATCAGTAAGTATGAGTTGATTATTGTCATTGTGTTAATTTTTTGGTAGTGTTGTTCGTTCTTCGCTTCTGCTTTCCTTCTTGTATTGGGTTTGTGTTTTTTTGAGTTGATTCTGGTCGATTTCGTCCTAGTTTCTTTGTTTGGTTGTTCTGTTGGTAATTAGCGTTATCGATCTGTTGTGGGGTGTTAATTTTCTTTGGGGTTACCTTGTAGTCTACTAGTTTCTCTCTGCATTTAGGATATTCCATTGCAACCTGTAATTTACGTGGCATCTCCACCATCTGTTGCTGCGTTTGTCCCTTCTTTGACGTTGTCCTTCAGTTGATCTATGGGTTCTCTTGAGTTTGTTGTAGTCTCCTTTCTTTCTGGACTCTGCTTTCTGTTGACTGTATTCCAGGTGGTGTTGTCATACCTGTCAATCTGTGACAGGCGCTAGCGGCACGTGGTGGGGGGGGCGTCGCTCAATGTGTCAGGGGCGTGGCCATGGCCTGTCAAGTCAGGGAGGCGGAGCCGGCGTGCTCAGTGTGTCGGGGGGGCGGGGCCGGTTTTTGGAGTGTGGCAGGGACCAGGTTAGTGGTGGTTGATCAGTGGAGGCATGAGGTTCAGCAAGGGAACATGCTGGGGAATACTTCAAGGGGGGAGTGCATTGCAAGAGTTCTGCTCCATCGGGCTGGGTGGGGAGGTGGAGTCCATGTCTGATGACGTCAGAGGGTTGCCTTGTTTCTCCTGCTCTCTGTGCCCTGGTTAAAACTGGTTTTTCTGCCTGCTTTCACCCTAGGGCAGAGAACCGTCCTCCTCTTCCCCCCCTTTTTTTTTCTTTTTTCTGTCTCCTGGGGCTTTGTCTGCTTTCGATTCTGTACTTTATGGGAAATGCAGCTTTCCATATGGGCTGATTCCAGCCCATCCCTCAAAGCTCTACAGGGGTCGAGGCAGTGGCTGCCCGCAATGGTGGGCAAAAGTTCAAAATGCCAGAATTCCTCCGTGGTGCATTTTTTTAAAAAAAGCGAGTCCAGGAATTTGATGGGCTGGGTTCCAGGTCTGCCACAGGATGTCCTCCTTTGTGAGGTCGAGGCAGTGGCTGTCCGCAATGGTGGGCGAAAGTTCAAAATGCCAGAATTCCTCCGTGGTGCATTTTTTAAAAAAAGCGAGTCCAGGAGTTTGATGGGCTGAACTTTATGGTGGTGGGAAGGTTCCAGGTCTGCCACAGGATGTCCTCCTTTGTGAGGTCTCCTTCTTTTTCCCTGGGACCCCTCTTACCTGTGTCGCCTTGCCACAGTGGGGTACCGGAAGTCTAAACTCTTCTAACAGTATTTTTAATATTCTTCTCCAACATCATAATTCAATGTCTTTTAGTGTTTTCCTTATTCACTGTCCAACTTTCACGTGTATATGAGGGTTTTGAAAATGCCATGCCTTGGGTCAATGGCTCCTTAGTCCTTAAACTGACATCTATGCTCTTGAACACTTTAAATAGGTCATGTGCAGCAGAATGCCTAGAGATATATTATTAACCCATGGGAACTTTCTTCCATTCATTGAAATATCTATCTTCACTAATTTAGCTCATTTAATTTGGAAATTAGAGATATGAACCTTCACAGAGGTAGTATTTCCAGGAGCTGAATTAAAAATATTTATGTTGATCTTTGTTTGTAAGAAAAAAAGCTACCCTCTGCCTCAGTATGCTTCATAGCAGTGTTCCACAAGACCCCATTAATGTAGCCTCCTCTGCCTTCCCTGATCACTTCTAGCATTCCTATTTATCCTCACCTCCTTCATTGCTACTCTTCTCACAAACTGCTGTAGACAATTAGGTCAATGCTGTCTCTTTTGCAAAACAAGTTGAGCCAACAATCACTCAACTCAGTAACTAGTTACAGCTGAGTGGTTCTGACTTGCATTTACCCAATGTATAACAGAGTAAAACATGCGTTACATAGGGTTTTCAATGCCTGATTGTTTGGAAGTGGATCACCAGACTTCTTTTCTGATGCATCAAGAACTTCCAACCATTTTATTAGTTCCCAAGCATGTTAACCATTTCCATCACCTAGGAATTCACTGGCAAAAAGAAGGCTAAAAAGAAAAAGAAAAAAAATTTAAAAGCACAATATCCTTTTGTCTCATTTTTTGGTTCATTTGACAGTTTTAAACTTTTGTTAATTCCTTTAGTCACACAAGAGTAGAAGAGGAAGTTTATATATTTCTCTCTTGCTTTAAGCAAAATAGATATGGAAATCCTATCACTATTACTTCCATTCATGAACAAAAATATACATGATAAAACCAGCTACTTCAGTATTTAATACTCATGGTTGGGCATGAGAACAATTTAGTGTTTTGAAATTCCCATTTTCCCTAATGTAATGAATGTCTGTTTTGATCCATGCAGTCCAATGCTTTAGCATAGTCAATAAAACACAGACAAAGATCATTCTGG